TTTTTTTTTTTTAAGGTGCGAATTCTGAAATGAATAATTTATCAAATTATTTTCTCTAAACATAATCTGATCAGGGATTGCTACTGAAAAGTGTTTAAACTCCTACTAAATAAATGGAACTTTTCAATAAAGCATATTCCCTGTTTGAATTTAATTCCTACATAGGTATTCCTGTAGGAATTAAATTCATAAATTCCTGCTTTCAAGTAAGCAAATATTGTTACTGCAGTTTGACCACCACATCCTTTACATGGGGCCCCAGAGCCAATGCTACTAGAAGGCTTCAGAACCTAGCTTTGAGCAAACAAGTAGAAGAGAAAGTTATGGGCCTCACAGAACCATAGTGTCTGATTTTATAATCCAGTACCATTTTTTCTCCTAGGAGAGAGAGTTTGTGTTTGATTTATCAAATGTTAGCACACCTCTCCCATGACAAAATGAAACTCACTACCCCAAAAATGGAGTTATGTGGGTTATGTAGTCCTAGGATTGACAGGGATTTCAACTGTCATCTAGTCCAACCCCCTACTGTCCCAGACAAATGTCTGCCCAGCCTCTCAAAGACCTTATTCAAGTAGATACTCAGCACAGTTCTTTCAGCAGTAACTTTCAGTGCATCTTTCTTTCTAAGATTCTTTCAGATCTTTCCCCACATCTAATTTTTCTTGATGAGCTCATTCAGAATGTTGCTTAAAAGCTACTTGAAGTCAGGTTCACAGAAGGTGGTCATCAGAGTACAGATAATATCCCATATCCTCCTATATAGGAGATTGTGGCCTAAGGAAGAAACATGAAAGTGTAAAACCTCTTGCATGCAGTTGTTATCAAGCTTACTCTTCCTAGGCTATCAAGTGATGTTTCAGAGATATGGTATATAAATAACTGCTAATAAGGGATAAAATGTTTACCGCAGCTTGAAGACATACCCTTGATCGTATTGTGAACAGAAACCTTAGTTCTGTTGCTTAAAGGAAGGGAGGTCACCTGAAACTGGAGGAAATGCAGTCTAAAACATCTTGTTTTTTAATCTATCAATCAGAAGTTTGAAATCTTGTTGAGAGACCTATTTGTATACCAAGTTCAGCTGAAAAGCCAAGAGATGCATGTAAGGAAGATGTCTGAAAGTATAGAGGGTTTTTTTTAAGTTTGCTAAAAGCCCTCCTGCCTCTTCCACACACACATGCAGCTAATAAGAATAAATATGGAGGAGAAAGTTGTTAAAGGGCAGGGACAGTGATTATAACCACCTTCAGTTTAACCTTCTAACTTTTGTTCTAAGAATTTGAAGTGCAACTGGAACCTCCACTTACATTCTCAATACAGAAATACAGGTTATAATGCAAAAGAGACTCATTTTGAACAAAAATCCAGTCCTTTGTAACATACTAGCTGGGAAGCTGAAGAAAGGGAACTAGAGTCACTTTCTAAGATGGTGGTAACACCTTCCTGATTTTTTTGGAGGAAATTAAATAAAAAACATGTGCATCATTTGAGCTTTATATTTATTGTTATAGGTTGGACAATTTGTTTGTTTGCTAGATTTATATCCTGCCTTACCAGGAAGGCTCAAAGTGGCTAAGTCAGCTGTAGCAAAGGATGTTCTAGTGCTGTTTTACAAGATAGCCTGAGCATGAGACTCGATGCTCGCTCTTCTTGGAAAGTGAATCAGGTACTGCAAGCAGACTGTGTGTGTGTGTGTGTGTGTGTGTGTGTGTGTGTGTGTGTGTGTGTGTGTGTGTGTCCTTAAGAATCTATCATTATCATTACAAAAGGTTCTTTGAGAGCTAGCAGTCTAATCAGTTCTCTAGCAACGTGAAGATTCCTGTCATGCTCCTGATCTCTAAATTACAAGTGCTGATAAAGGCACTTTTTCACTTCATACTTTTCAGGCCTTTTCTTGTTACTGAAAGTATCCTGCCTATTTGCTGCCACTTTTCCAAAGAGTTTTGTTGCTTGCATTACTCTTATTGAAACTTTAGTTGCTTTAGCTCTGTGAACTAACCATTCATCAATGTACAAGAATATTACCCTCTTTCTTGGGCAGTAATTGTTTTTCTAGTTGAATCCAAACATCACAAGGAAGTAGAAATGCTTAAGTTAGATTTGAACAAAGACTGCAGGGGGAAAATGTGTATATAACAGAAGCATACAAACTCTCATATATAACTGCCATTACTACCACATGAAATGAATAGCACTTTTTAGTCAGAGAGACGATATGCATCTTAGAAGAAGGTCTAAAAGGTTCTTCAATGTTCTTCCATCTAAAATTTGTTTCAGACAACATCAGGTTAATATCCTCAACTCTACTGTTACTTGGTACCATGGTGCTGCATATGTTACACTTGTTTTCAATCCCTATATGGCTAGATTAAATTCTTGTCCTTCTTGGGGGTCGGACTCGATGAGGGGGTTGGACTCGATGATCTATTGAGGTCCCTTCCGACCCTAGCATCTATGAATCTTTAGGCAATCAGGACTCATAGTAGAGATGATATCTTTTATTAAACCAACAAGATTGTTGCAAAAAAAAAAATTCTTTAATTGCAATTAAAGGAACTTTTTTGCAAACTTTTTTTTGCAAAAATCTTGTTGGTCTAATAAAAGACATCATCTCTACTACAAGTCCTGATTGCCTTTTCCTCTAGACCAATACGGCTCCAACCTGGATACCTTCCTCCTTTGGGGATGATTTGCTACATTTTACGTTCACTCATGGACAGAGTGTTTGACACGAAGAGAAAGGAGAAAGGGAAATTTCTGTGTTTTCATTCTAGGACTCTTCCATGTCACAGTATTATTCTACCTTGGAGGAATGTGTTTTGCATAGGATTTGTTGTTGTTTGTTTTCTTGTTAGGAGGTTTGAAAGTAGGTGTTTCTCAAAATCCGTGGATTTTGCGTCAAGTCTTTGTCCTAAATGATTGGTACTTTTATATAGCCTTGTTCAGTTTAGGAAGTTATGGTTTTGGAGGGTTCTTCCTGAGGAGTGGTCTTAAGCCCAGGCTTGGAGCAAAGTTCTGGTTTGCCTCCATTTACTGTGGAGACAGGGAATGCACCACTGCAAAGACTGGTGTAGGAAGTCCTAGAATGAAAATTCACAGGTAAGACAGATTCTTCCCTTTCTCTCATGCAAGAGTAAACATGCTTCTGACTTTATTCAGCGGTTGATTTTTATCCTTTAACTGTTCCCCTGCTATTTGGGCACCATTTTGTGACTTAGCACACAATTGGGAGAGAAAAAGAAAGGGAGAGAAGGAGGTACAACAAAAAAAAAGACAAATGTGTGAATTGTAACCAGTTTTGGGAAAATACAGTCTTCCCTTCTTTGAAGCAGACACTGGTGATGGCTTAGTGGAATTTAAAGATGCTGCCCTGGTCCAGAGGTTTCTACTTCTTGTAGCTAAATCCACCTCAGTGTAAAAATAGTTATTGTGGCACACAGTGGCTAAGTACAGACAGTCAAAAAGCCCAAGGCTGAATTGATTCAGTCTGTGTAGGTTAGTCTAAGATGCAAAGATTAAACTGGGAAACAGCTGGTCACACATTTACCTTTGATTCAGGAAATGCAGCCACATGCCTGCAGTGGCTCAGGCAGAAGCCAGGGGATGCTAGAGCCCAGCTCTCCAGCACTTCTTCCTGCTGCCCCTGAGGTCTCTGGGATTTGCAGTCCAGCATTACAGCAGCAGGGCTCTGCAGGGTTGCTCATCACTTCCTCTTCCTGCTATCAGGTGCCTCTGGGATTTGTAGTCCACAGTTGCAGCCAGCAGTAACTTTCAGTAAATTTAGCAGGGCAGGACAGCTCTGTACTCAGGGGAAGGGGGTTTAACTCCCCCTTCCTGGCTCCAGACCCTAGCCAGGGTTTACTTTGGAGGGGGGGGGCAGTCCCTGCCTCTCTCCCCTTCCCCCCTCCCCTTCCCGCCTCCCAACCCCTCTCTGCTGGAGCAGACAGCACAGTCCAGGGCTGGAAAGCATGCTGGGATGTTGGGGGGACTGTGATTTAACTTGAACCAGGAAGGGGTCTGGGACAGAAGTTTCATAAACCAGTTTGACTCAAATCACTTAAGTCTTGACGCTGCATTCAAGCAGGCTTATCTTAAACTAGTTTCAGCCATTTTGAAACTGGTTTATGTGAACTGAGCTGTTCTGCTACAAGTTAAAACTAGTTTCTGATTACTTAAACTGGTTTATGTGCAACTTCTGTCCATAGCCAGTCAGACCTAGCAAAAAGGTCTTCATAATCTCCCAGCACACGCCAAAAGGACACAATAATTAGGTATTGCAAGAAAAACTTAATGGTAACTTCACAGTTTGTGTGACCAGACTCTGGAATAGACTCCCGGCAGGGATGGTGTAGGCACCTGCTCTGGATATCTTCAGAAGGAGACTGAATGCACACCTTGCTGGAGTTATTTGACCCCAGAAGTCTTTCCTGCCCTGGACCCAATGATCTCACAAGGTCCCTTTCAGCCCTAAATTTCTGTGAATCTGTGTGAATCCATGTAAGGTCTCCTGATCTATTTTTGATTATTATCAATGTCTCTAGATTGACATGTCAAAAAGATGCTGGTTATCTGCTTAGAACATTTCTAGGGTCTCTACATAGTTACATTCTCAGAGGCTCAGGCTAATAAACTGCCATTTCATCTTGAACGTGGCCATCTGTCCAGTAGAGCATGCAGTGTAGTGGTGATCTCTGGCAAGCATTTTGTCGTCTTCATCGCAATAAGGGCCTGTAGAGCAGAAGTTGCTAGAAGTGATGTTACTACCTCTGCTTTTATAACTCTTCTGTGGATCATTTTCCTTGTTTCTGGAACATAACCAATCTCTTCTGTTTTTTTCTTTGTTGCTTTATTTATTTATTTTTTAGTTATTCATAACATTCTGATAAGTATTGGAGAGGTGAGACCACAAATGCTCCTCTCCTCAAGCTGTGCAGCATATTGAACTGTTTGGTTGTGATTGTGTGTTTTTTGTTTTTTTTTTTTTTTTACTACAAAAGCATCTTACAAATAAGAATTCCTGCACATCTTCCAGCAATATTTGAGCAGAATGGGGGAAGCCATCCAGTCTAGTCCAGATGCAATGAACTGTAGAAAGGTAAACACTGAAATTATACTTCTCAAGGAGAATGTGCAATTGGATTGGGAGGTCTGTATGAGCTGGTAGGGAAAAAGTTGCCACTAAACTAATTTAACGTCAATTGAAACAGTTGGAGTTAATCACACATTGGTTAAATTTTGAATTTAATGGAGCGAAGCATCAGAAATACTATTAGCATGTGTTCGTAAGGAAGTTCCTCATAGAATAAGAGATGTTAAACTACTATGTTTCTCTTGGGCAGGAAACCCATATTGTTTTTACATTTTTGTTTTAATGTTTTGTTTATAAAGTGTGGGGAGGGGAGTGGGGGGAGGAAGGGCCAACGTCTTTGAAGAAGTTTAACCAAAATCCATGTAAAGAAAGGTTTTAAGGTTTTGATTGTGATTTTCTAAATGTTTGAAAATTCCCAAGTGGAAACTGTGTTTGCCTTGGTGTTTTTAATGAGCTCCAAAAGGTGACTGGTAAATCATTTTTTTTTTTTTTTTTAGTCTAATCACTTTTCTCTAATGAATAGATACTTCTAGACATGTGAGACTAGATCCTCAGTCAGTTTAAATTGGCATTGTTCTCTTGATTTCAGTGACATTTTTCATTTTATACCACCTTTTACTAAGCAGCCAAACTCAAAAATTGTATTTGACGAGCTAGATTTTGCCTGGTATAAAATGGAGTCACTGGAAACATGTCTGTCTTAAAATATGGACAACATCATCTAAAGTTGATATCTAGCTTGTTATCCTTCACTGTTTGCAGTATATATAAAAAATGATTCATTTGGAAATCTTATTCAGTTATATTTTTATCTACTTGTACCTTAAAAGGTCACTCTTATTTTAAAGCATCTAAGTAATAAGCACATCCTCATTATATGTAGGTTTTTTAGATATTAATCTTTATAGCAATAGTGTTGACTACTTCAGCCCTATCTTTTAAACTTTTCTCCCATTGTTGTGTGGTATACACTATACAACACCACTCTTTATGATTGTGTGTGTGTGTGTGTGTGTGTGTATGTATGTATGTGTGTGTGTGTGTGTGTGTGTGTGTATATATATATATATATATATATATATATATATATATATATATATGACTACAGTAATTAAGAAAATAATGGGCTCTTAAATATTAAGAGGAAAACATGTTATTCTTTCTTACTTATAGACCTAATATGCCAAAAAGCTTTAATAAACATTGTCAGAAAAGCACTAAAAATTTTGACAGCTGAGTACCAAAGCATCGGGTCTACAAGACCCTAGAAAACTAAGAAACAGTTTGCAGTTGTTGATAAACACTTAAACTGGACCTGTCTGGTAATTTGTTAATGGTTATTTTGCATGTTGATATGTTAAACCTCCTTATTTCAGAATTTCTATTTCATTCAGGCGAATGGGGCATTTTACAACTGAGTTGTATTTCAGGTAATAGTCAAGAAAGCAACTTTGCATAATTTTATACTTTACATGGGTTTTGAAAATTACCTCCTGAGAACTGAGGGCTGTTTGAATGAAGACTTGCTTTCTGGAGTACAATTCTGTGGCAAGCAGTAGATTCTGCAGTAGCTTCATGGCTATGAAACACTAGCTTAGCTCTGTCTTGAGATAGGATTGAGGTTTTAAGTTTTGGGGTGTTTTGTGGAATAAGGGAAAAACAAGTCAGATTTGGAATGTATCAGGCAGAAACAGGCAGCTTGTGGCTAAAAATAAAAGGAGAATCTTGTTAAAATTGAGTCATCTCACTCTATGGAAAGCACATTACAGTAATGATGCACATACATGTCTGATTAGGTAGAAACACATTACTCAGGTAAATATTTTTGGGCCAGTTTCTGCTCTCTGGTGCATGTCATGTATTTTTGTGTACTTTAGATTAAAAAGAAACCCTCAGCGATGAATGAGATTTAAAATCTGGACTTCTAAATTGGCATTGCTTTTCTAAAAAAATAAGACCCATTGGGTTGGAATAAAGTAACATTTTTGGTGTGAAGCCATCTTGAGAGGGAATTGTTTTTTGTTTTTTCCTAGTGTAAATGTTTAGTGGGACCCTCTACACATGCAGGTAAAGGTGCAATGGGATCTAATGCGCAATCCACACAATGCCATGGCATGACAGGAAGTGCAATTGTGTGGATTGTGCATTAGATCTCATTATGCCTTATTGCCGGGGCAGAGGGAACCTGGAATCATGATCACAACCCTGCAGCTGACCGGGCTCATAGCGAGGGCTTCAAGGAGAGCTCTGCCACCACTGAGCGTCATGAGGTGCAAGGCTTACAGTGGCAGCAGCGTTCTCTCTGCTGCCTTTGCTGCGAGCCCCACAGCCAGTGAGGCTTACAGGGATGGTGGGGGAGCGTTCTCCTCACTGAAAGTCCTGCAGCTGGCAAGGCTCACAGCTGGGACATTGCCATGAACACTGCCACCACTATGAACCTTACCAGCTGTGGGGCTGGCAGCTGGTGGTGCATCCCTGTTGTATGAAAGGATGGGGCTTCCAGCTAGAGAGGAGCACCTGGCCACACGTTTATTTAATGGCATGATTAGAACAAGCTACAAAGTTATTACACATGTTTTTGGGGGGGATAACTTTGTTCCTTATTACTCGTTTTATCATGCCATTAGTTGATTGAACGTGTGGCTGGGTTACAACTTAAGGCAGAGGCGGGCAGTTATTTTGGGTGGAGGGCTGCTTACTGAGTTTTGGCAAGCTGTCGAGCCATATGGATAGCCCAGCCCCCTGATGGGTGCCCTGCCCCCTGGTCACTGTCTTGGAACCGGAAGTCCCCTACCTAACCTCTGACCTTTGCCACTGGAAGTCCCTCCCCTTGCCCCTGGAAGTACTCCTTTGGGGAAGAGGGTTTGCCATCTGAGGGGGTGGAAAAACTAATTAAATACTAAAAATCAAACACCCATAATATATTTTAATTTAATTAAAAAAATATATTTTTGTCCTGATTTGTGGGCGTTTGGTGTATATGCAGAAGTGATTGCATATGAGGGTTTGTGGGGATGTGTGACAATGGATGTGGGTATGAGAGCCATGTGTAGTGCAGAGTGCCGGGAAAGTGGTGGGGGGTAGAGTGAAAGTGAGTGGGATCATAGGGCCTGCACCAATGTCCCAGAGCCAGTGCTGGCGGGGCCCAGAACGAGGGCAGTAGGAGCGTGGGGCGTGGGCTGGCAGGAGTCCATGGAGCCAGGCTGGGCTGCACCAGCAGGGAGAGGGGGGAGCTGGCCTGGCTCCATACAGCACCTGCTGGCTGGACCTCGTGCTCCTGCAACCCTGCTCTGGGCCCCACCTGTGTGCGCCCCATGCTCCTGCCTGGCTGCTGCTGGCTCCCACAAACCCATTCACTTCCAGTGCCCCTTCCCCAGCCCCGTGGTACAGGCAGGGAGCAGCGCACAGCCCTGACCCCGCACTCACCTGCGGGGAACAAGCTAGTGCTCAGTGCGGGGGGGGGGAAAGCACCCCCTGCCCCCCCCGCCTCCCCCCGTGGCCAGCACCCCATGCTGCAGCTGCTCACAGCCCGTGCAGAGCTGTCCTGACTCTTCTGTATCACCGCCACCCCCTGGGGCAGTGGTAGCAATGAAGTGCAGGCAGAGGCAGCCCCGTGTGGGCTTCAAGGGGCTGCAGCGTGGGGTGCTTGCCACAGGGAAGGGGAGCGGCTGCCTTTGCCCCACACTGAGCACCAGCTCGTTTCCTGCCACTGCTGCTAGCCTAGGCCCTGCACCAGCTCTGGGCTCACCCATCGGGGCTGCGCACAGTGAGAGCAGCTGCCCCCCCCCACCTGTTTGGTGCGGAGGAAAGTGCCCCCTCCCACCCCGTTGCTGCTGGGCAGTGTTTGCTGCGACTGACATGCTGGGCAGTACAGAGGCAGTGGTGAAGCAGCCGCACCACAGCCTAGTGCAGCGCGGGCTCTGGGTGGGTGTCCGCAGCAAACACTGCTCGGTGGCAGCGAGTGATGGGGCCACTTCCCTCCACACCGAGCAGCAGCTTCTGGAGAACAAGCTGGTGCTCAGTGCAGGGAAAATGCAGCCACTCCCCTTCCCTGTGGTCAGCACCCCGTGCTGCAGCCATTCAGAGCCCACACGGGGCTACCTGTGCCTGCTCTCCTTTGCCCCATGGGATGGCAGTGATGTGACCGAGGCAGGACAGCCCTGCGTGGGCTGGGAGTGGCTGCAGAAGGAAGCGCTGGCCACGAGGTGGAGGGAGGCCACTATTCCCCTGCGCTGAGCACTACCTTGTTTCCTGTGAGCGTGCACAGGAGTGGGGCTCTCCATCTGTACTACAGCGCTGGGGTGGGGGCACTGGGAGTGAACAGACGTGCAGGAGCTGGCAGCAGCCAGGCTGGAGTGCGGGGCCTGTGCCGGTGTCCCAGCACCAGCGGGGCAGCAGGAGCACAGGGTCCCGGCCAGCAGGGGCTCTGGAGTTGGGTCAGCTCTCCCCTTTCCCTGCTGGTGCAGCGCAGTCCTGCTCCAGAGACCCCTGCCAGCCTGTGCCCTGTGCTCCTACTGCCCTGCTCTGGGCCCCACCGGCACTGACCCCAGGACACCGGCACAGGCCCCACACTCCTGCTCGCTTCCACTCCCCTCCCCCCACCACCACCACCACCCCCGCTTTCCCACCTACCTGCCAGCCCCCAGCTGCATGGCTAGACGGTAGGGCTCAGCAGGAGCTGGCCCAGCCCCAAGGACCAGGGCGATCCCCACAGTCCTCCCTTGCCTCCCCCTGCCCCACTTCTCACCTGAATTTCCCGCACTGATGCAGCCACTAACACCAAGGTCCAAAGCCAAAAGTCCCTGTTTGGGGGACCAGCTTGGGGGGGCAGGGGCGGGGCTGGACAAACCCTGCTGTTGCAGGAGTCTGCCAGGGCTTCCCCTGGGTTCTACTGTCCGTGGCTCCTGCCATCTTTGACAGAAAACCAGGGGCAGATGAATATTAATTTCCTAAATTTTTTAGGGTTCCTGTGGGCCAGATAGAATGGCCTGACGAGCCGAATCTGG